GTTAAACTCCTTTTATGGCCCCGACTATTTATTAGTGGTTAAACTCCTTTTATGGCCCCGACTATTTATTATTGGTTAAACTCCTTTTATGGCCCCGACTATTTATTAGTGGTTAAACTCCTTTTATGGCCCCGACTATTTATTATTAGTTAAACTCCTTTTATGGCCCCGACTATTTATTAGAGGTTAAACTCCTATTATGGCCCCGACTATCTATTAGTAGTTAAACTTCTTTTATGGCTCAAACTATTTATTAGAGGTAAAACTCCTGTTATGGCTCTGACTATTTATAAGTAGTTAAACTCCTATTATGGCCCCGACTATTTATAAGTGGTTAAACTCCTATTACAGCTCTGACTATTAATTAGTGACTCTTGTATGTTAGACATACCAAGGGTATTAATTAAGTAAAAAAAAATGGACTTGATCACTTTATACGTAACTAAGATAGTTTTACTTCTTCAAGGTCATCAGATGAAGAGAACATGGTGGTTTCAGATAGAGATGTTCGAGTATTTCCCCACGATTGTGTTCTGGACAGTTGTAAATACTCTTGTCAAGGGGTAAGAAATTCCTTTGCTATAGAATAATATAGAAATGTGTTTGTAGATTATGTGATATTTTTATAATAATTACATCCATTTTATTCTTCTTTATTTATAGGATTTTTAATTTTTTTAATATTAGCTGATATAGAAAACAATTTATATCAATTTATGGTGTTTATGATAATATTTACTGTAATGTGGATAAAATCTGTGCATAAAAAGTGAACCTAACTCGTATCATAACATGATATAAAGAACTACTTTTATAGGATATTGTTTAACCTAACTCGTATCATAACATGATATCAAGAACTACTTTTATGTGATATTGTTTAACCTAACTCGTATCATAACATGATATCAAGAACTACTTGTATATGATATTGTTTAACCTAACTCGTATCATAACATATGAAGAACTACTCGTATATGATATTGTTTAGAATTGTCAGCTGTGCACCCGATGCCTCAATGATGAGGAAAAATATATTCTAAAGGAAGCTTACCGAGAACATCTAAGAAGAGGAAACTGCAGGCGTGTTATTCCTTCTAGTACAGTAAGTTGTGTTCAAAATTTAAATACATCCTTCAACCATATCAAATATTATAACATAAGAACGAACCTGGTTAAGTACCTTAATAGTGCACTATAATACAAGAACAAACCAGTTCTGGTTAAATACCTTAATAGTGCACTATAATACAAGAACAAACCAGTTCTGGTTAAGTACCTTAGTAGTACACTGTAATACAAGAACAAACCAGTTCTGGTTAAGTACCTTAATAGTGCACTATAATACAAGAACAAACCAATTCTGGTTAAGTACCTTAGTAGTACACTGTAATACAAGAACAAACCAGTTCTGGTTAAGTACCTTATAGTACACTGTAATACAAAAACAAAACAGTTCTGTGATTTGTAATGAATAAAGGTTTTGTAATGTAGAATAGTAGTAACCTTTGAAATATATCACAAAAATACATTGATAAAATGTTAGCAAACTTGACTGACAATAGTTTTATAGCTTATGACTGACAATAGATTTTATAGCTTATGACTGACAATAGTTTTATAGTTATAGTATTTTGGCACTTGTGTATAAAGTTAAAATCATAAATAATATTCCATATGTAAAAAATAAAAAAACTGAAAATTCATCCATAGCAGAACATGTACAGGAAACACAACACACAATATTATGGGGAAAAAACTGTAATATTAGCTCAACCTAAAAGTGTAATAGATAATAATATTTGTGAATCGTTAGAAATAATAAAACCCAAAAAAGATCAT